CATTCATAACACTGTTCTACCCTCCCCTCATAATCTGAGGCAGTCCTTTCCCCTCCTCTTACCCCTCACATGCCCTCTCACCACAGCAGAACCCCTTTTCTTTCTGGTTTTATTATCAATCTCGTCGCGCACACTGGGTCTGAACGGGCTCGTGTGTATTATTAGAATACGGTCCAACCGCTCGCCCACGACGGTTTGAAAAAGAATACAAACACAAGCGGGCCCACGTTGAAAGCCTCCATATCCTCGCTTGTTTTCGCCCTGTTCTTTTCCACCCTTGTTGGGTTTCCTGCCCCGGTTCTCTCCCGCTACAACGAGGCACGCTGGAAACTCACGGCCTGACAATGGGAGACAGCTGCTCTCGCCGCACAAGTCCGCCATGAGCTGAATTTGTGGTACAAGCCCCCACCCCCCTCTCCCCTCTCCCATCCCCCACTCCCGGGCCTCCCCTCGCATTGCGCCAACTCCAGACGCCTCAGCACACCTCGTGGAAAGCTTCGGAGGGGGGAGAGAGAGAGAGAGAGAGAGAGAGAGAGAGAGAGAGGAAGACGGGGCAAGGGGAGAAAACAAAAGCGTGACGTGGCCTTGTTTGGTGGTCCCTTAAAAAGGCACCACAACATTGTTCTGTGTTACGTGAAATAAAACACTGAAATAAAAAGAGCAAGTGTCAACAGGCTGCCAGAAGCCTTCGCAGACCACAAGAGATATTAAATCAAAATTCCGTAGTAATTTTAAGAGTGTGGTCTAGACTGCCTGCAGGTGCCTGTGCACGAAACAGCCAAGCAGCTAAAAAGGCTCGCTAACAAACTAAAGACATTACCCATTTTCTCTGTTTTATCCACTTGTCAGCAGTTGGGTGAGATTATTACTAGCGCAATGCTAGCGCCATGTTAGCGCCATGCTTTCCTCGTTTTTTCTTAAAACTCAGATTTTTCCATTGGAGTTTGGAGACCGAAATGTGCTTTTTGGGAAAACTAAGTCATTTCCCTTAACCAGATAATAGCACAAGATTCCCGATGGGTCCCGACAATCGCCGAGAGGTTGAGACAATTCCGAGCAACGGGGCGGGAGGAGCTGCCAAACTCCTGTACGGAAGGAGAATACAAGGAGTTTGCCTCAGCTTCGCTGACCACACTCAATAATGATGACAAAGAAACTAATGAAACACAACCACCCCCAAATCACTCAGGGATCAAAATGAGGTCAAGCACCGACAATAGAAATAAATAGTTTTTAAAACCTTCGTGAAATATGAAAATACTTGAGCACACAATCATATTTCTGATGGAATAACCAAACTATTGTAAAAAGACAAAGAACAATACACTACTTTGGGGGGAGGATTTAAAAAACAACGCCAAACAACAACATGGACGCCGGCGAGGCTCTCCTCCCAGAACGTATCCTGTCCACGATGAACAAAACCACAGCTTTTGCTTCAAACCTTTTTCACCAGACTGGACTGGATTATTTTGCACTCGACATTAAGTGACAAAGAATCCCGAGAAGCCCGCAGGAAGCGGTGAGATCACGGGACACGAATCGGGCTAAACGCTCCAGCGAGGTCAAGGTGACTTACAGGCGGCAGCGTTTACGGCTGGAAAGACCCGGTTACAGTATTCAGTCTTTCCAAACAAAAGGCCCCTCGACGGGGATTTCCTGAGCAACAAGGCCATAAACATTATTCTTTTAATATCACAGTGGTTTTCTCCTCTGGACTTCGAGGGTGATGAGTGTACTATACGGCGATATGAATGGACCTGGTCCTGAAATGATGATGATGTGTCTGTCTAGAAGTGTGCAAACTGGATGTGAAAATTATACTTTCAAAAGAAAAGAAAAAAAGAAGAAAAACAAGCGCCAACAAGCTGGAATATGAAAAAAAAACACTGAAATTACTTTAAGTTGGCAGCGTTTGTACCAAATGACGAGAGAGAGCCAACTCATCTTGGAAGCCGTGTGTTCGGTGGCAGCTTGAGATGGAATTATTAAATATGTATTCCCATCCCAGAATCAATAGACTTGAGAGCCGCGAGGTTGTGTTCGTCTGAACCCGTCTCCATGCGCACATCATCAATAGGCATGTTTGGGAAACGGGCAGGATAGGAAATATGTGGAGGAAAACACCTCGATGTGATCACAGATTGATGTTATATGTCATCTTTTTTTTTTTTTTAAAGGTCAGATTAAATATTTATTCGAAAACGGGAGCGTTTTGAGCATCGTGTGCTTACAAAATCCATTGTGATTTACAGCGATTCCAGCGGCGCGCCGGCGAGGGATAAGATGCTGTAAGCCGTGGAAAGGTGGGGTACGCATGGAATGCTTCGTAGTCTGCAGAAACATGCACGTCCACATGAAATGAAAATGTCAAACGCTCGACCCACGTTAGGAAAATAGTTTTCATGTCCATTGCAGCGGCTGTTTGCGGATATTAAAAAAAAAAAAAAAAAATGTTCAAAATGTCTTATCAAACATCCATGTTTATTCCCGTAATTTGTGGATATTTTTTTTCCCTCCTCCGAGCTCATACCGCTTCACGTTATTCTGAAGGCAGCTGCTAATGGCAGACGTGGAAAACAATTAGTGTCAAATGTTTTCTTCCTGTAGCAGTGAGGGACTCCCCGAGGCTGGATGCTTCTTACAGAAATCACAACCACCTGGTTGCTGGCAGACAACTCGCTGCTGCGGTTCATCACCTCACTGTGGCAGCGAGCATGGATCAGATAAATAAGACGGGTTATCCGTTTAAAACTCGATGATTGGACGATGTTAAAAACTGATACATTGAGGCGTCCAGAGAGCTGGAGGGAGATCCGATAACCCGATGTCAGAGAGGTGCGACTTAAAATAAGTCAAAACCCCGGCGTTAATTTGAAAAAAAGTCAGGGGGGGTGTCTGGGGGGTGGACATCGCCGGCGATGAGCACATCGGGGTCTTCGACGTAATTTTCCGTGATATCCGCTCCACTTACCCGGGTGCTGGTGGCCCGCCGAGGCCGCCAGCGAAGGCCTCGCTCCTCTGCATCTGCATAAATAGAGGTAGGAGGGCGAGACGCACTCGGGGCGGTGGCAATGAATTATTCAGCGTCCGGGGCCCGCCTCGCCGTTGCACCTCCGGACACGTACTGATTAGCGCTCGGAATACACTGGACGAGTGGGCGAGGCCGCTCGATTGGAATCAGCGCGCGAGATGTAACGAGGGCGACGGACTCCCGTAATACACTTCTGGTCCAGACGTTCTTTTTCTCCCGGATTCCGTGTCGACGCGGTTTGTGCAGACTGCTGAATGTAAAGGGAGCAGAGTCTGTGGACGCCGACGGCCGCGGCGCGATGGAGAAATGGGATTCCGCCGTCATATCATTTTAGGAACTATCCGTTATAAGAGCTCGGGCCGCTTCAGGTCCATGCAGGAGGTGAGCTCGGTGATTATTATCTGAAATGTAACCCCTACCGGCCATTTTCCCTCTGATCCACATCAGAACCAAAGAAATATCTGGGAAGAAACAACATGAGCCGTAAACGCACAATTAGATAAAGACTGTTTGGGAGGTATGCGCTCGCTGAGCGCGAAAACATTGCACCCATTTTGCCCAGGAGCGTCTCTGTTCCTCACAACTCCGCTTTCTCACAACGTCTAATCTTTTCTTCACTTTGGCTTTTGCCCGTTGCAAGATTATAGAGCTCGGGTTTGTCTTGTGAGCCTGATTGATGTCAACACCACCCTTGGAAACAGCCCTTCACACACCCTCCCTTTTCCTCATGTGATTAAAACACGTCGAGTTCAACAAACTGCCTAAAAAAGACGACGTAGAATACACAAACGCACGTTTGTTTTTTAGAAAAATAGCATTTTTCTAAACAGGGACGGCCAACCACGGAGCGTAAGTGGATGTTATCAGCGATATCATCTCCTCCTCCTTTTCAAGGATACCTTTCACTGAAGAAAAAAAAAAACAAATCACCGAAAGCACTTTCATTCCAAACGCAGCACAAAGACTTCCCTGAGATCCCCGTTGAAGAGGCTGCTGCAGCTCGCGTTCATGAGTGGGTGTCCTGGATTTAAGGAATCAAACAGGCTTCCTCGCCGCCCATCCCCCACGCCACTTTCAGAGCAGCAGGAAGAACGAGCGAGGCGTGCTTTGCACCGGTTCCCTCCCCCACCCACGCACACACACACACACACACACACACACTCTGCTCCACCAGGCATCGCCGGGGCTTGTGGGATTAAGAATGGAACACGATGACAGACAAAAACAGTCCTCAGCGCCTCCCTGCGCCGCCGCCATTCACTCTGCTAGGAGCATGAAAAGGGCCGCCATGAGGCACACAATGGGCACGGCGATAGATCGACTCCGCGGGCGAGAGGAGTGCGGGCGAGCGGCTACACGGATCCTCGCATTGTTCTCCCCGAAGATTATGTCAGCGGGGAATAAAAAAAAATGAAAAGTGGGACGAGATGTGACATTTACGTCTCGATTAGAACGTCCATCTGTCACGTTCTCGTCTGACTTCAGTACAACGGGCGCGCGTCACGAGCTGGGATTCATCTTCTTAAACGCCAGACATATTGACACCACGACGGCGCCTCCTGTTAATCAAGCCGTCGCCGTCGACGAGGGAAATGAAACCAGTTCCTGACGCTGGGGGGTGGGGACAGCAGTGGGCCTTTCATTCATTACGCATCACATGTCAGACGGTTTCAGGGAACAAGCACTCCGAGCCCGTCGACGCCGCCGGGCCCGAAGCGGTCGGTGTCATCGCGTGAAACCCCACCGCGGCGATGCAACAGATGAAAGACGACGTTGTTGAAACACATTATAGTTAACTAGGGTGGTTGCAAACGGTTTTCAGCAAAGCTAGCTAGCTAGCATAGCAACATCGAGAGAGCCCGACACTGTGCACGCAGGGTTCACGTTACTGGAATAATTACATTGTTACAGTGAAAATCAAATCCATGCGGCATCAGAATGAGAAAGAAAAAAACAAAACACTTACCTTCTCGTTTTTCACCTTCTTTAGAGTCTTGCATTCACCGTTACCATTTTCCACCTCCTCTGGTTCAGTTTTTGCCGTCAATGCCGGTACGATCCCCACAGGTTCAAGTGCAATATTCCCCATTTGATTGGTGTCTGCCAAGTCGGCGGCCTGCGCGTTCTCAAACGAAGCGCCGCGGCTATTCCCCAGAGCCACTTGGGCTTGAGACACGACGTCCTTCTCGCCGGCGGCCATCGCCACAACCGGGCCCCCGTCCGCTTTGTCCTTCTTGCTTTTACCGCCGGCCCCTTCTTCTCCTTCTTACCGCTCGGCACGCCTCTGGAGGCCTTGCCGCCCTTCTCCACGTTCTTCCCGGGGATGGAGTTGTTCCCGCCGCCGCCGCCGGCTGCCGCCGCTGCTGCTGCTGCCATCGCGGCAGCCGCCACGCCCGTCGGCTCCCCTTGAGTCCGTGCGGCCGTTTCCTTCTTCCCCCCCTCCCCGGCCGAAGCCTTGCTCCCATTGTCTTTAGAGTTCTTGCTGCGCTTGTATTTGGATTTGCTCTCCTTGCCCTGCGCTCCGGACACCGGACTAACGAACCTGATGTTGTCGGGCAACGCTGCCACTGCGCTGGGCGGTGCCGCCATGTTGTCTTTGGTGCCAGACATCTCAAGCTTGTCCTTCTCTAAGTCCGCGTCGAGGTCAATGATCAGATTTCCAACACCGATATCCCACTCATCCCCGCTGTCGTAAGTGTCCACCGCATTCGAGTCCACACCTTTCCCGCCTGCAGTGCCACCACTTAGGGACATTTTAGTGCCAACGGCCCAGGATTGCCTCAGTGAGGTCCGACGCCCTCTCAGACGGTTGGGACTCGGGGGCTGGGGTTAGAGGATCCTCACGGTCTACTCGTTCCTGTTCCATTTGACCACATTTTACTCTGGGAGGGAGAGAGGGAAAAAAAAAGGATTTATTTCATTTGTCTAATCACACTCACATGGAATTCATCAAAAAGAAAAAAAATAACACAATCCGCTAATGATTTTGGACGTTACGGCGCAGAACCACTACGGTAACACGCCGCCGGTGTGACCGCACTGCGCCGAAAACCCTCTCCACATAATCACTGCCCAGTCGCCATGGCAACCGTGGGAAATGCAGCTTAAGCCCTGCTTTGACAGCGGCGGTGGCCGCCCGCGTCCTGAGCGGCTGGCTCTCCTTTCACAGGGCGCTGCCGATAGTGTCAGCGCTGATAAATAAGGAGTAGCTGGCCACACACACACACACACACACACCACATGGTTTATCGAGCCGTGCCTTTTCAACTCGAGCACACTATGCTAATCTTGCATTAGCAGAGGAGCTTAAAGGCATGAATGAAACCAGTGTGTGGCTCGGGAGAACATCGGTTGGTTGTATTTGCTTACATAACATAGCCAGGGAAAAAAAAAAGGTCACCGCGTTTCATGTATTTCAGCTAATTGGTTCCAGGGCCGATCACAATTTGGGAGAAATATGCATATCGACATGGATATGAAAACCTCGGAGTTCAGGTGCATCTTCACAATTCAGATCATGGAATGACTGTAAAAAGAAATCTCTTTAACACCCCTTTGATATGTCTTTTAGGAGCACGCAACATTAAAATGAGCAAAAGGATTACTATTGTAAAGCTTATCGAGTTCCCCTCGTGAATAACACGTGCTATATGAATACAGTTCGCTTTGGCAGCTACATCAGAACCGTGACTGCTCGGATTACGCACCTACTGCTCAGCCAAGCAGTTCTCACCGTCTAAAAAACACTGCAACCAATGATGTGCACAATAGTACAAAGTCGTGCGAGGAAGAATGAGGGAGATTCGGAAAATGTAACTTGTTGGTCGTGCAGCAGAAGTGCTATAATGACATGTTTTTAAATAGCTTCCTGTACAAATAAACATCCCCGAGCCACCGTTTATTTTCATTCCTTCTCTTGGTAGAACTCGGTTACACGGCGCACCAACTCACTGAGAGAAGCGTTTTGTACTCTGAATAAAGAGCGTCGCACGGAGCCGTTCAGCCCCTGAGAAGCTGTTGATACTCGGGGGCTGCTGGTGTTGACGTTGCCACCAAGAAAAGAAAAAAAATAATAAGCTCACTGCATGTTAGTAAGTAATTAAAACACGAACATGGGGGATGAGGAGGGAGGAGCACAAAAGGCTCTGGAGTGGCGGTTGGGGGCGAGGGGATCAATACGTCCTCAGACACGCATTCACTCCGGTGGTTCTCGCTCTGCGCTTTGTAAAAACACAAAGCTCGAAGGAGCTGGAAGGATGCGGGACAACTGGTGCACGTATGCTCTGGTTACTCACTCGTCGCCGTGCTGTGTCCGCTTTGCATTTCGGATCTTAAGTTCTGAATCCTTAATCTTCTAGCGGATGTCTGGGTTTAATTGGGAAGCTGAATAGCAACTGGTTTCTAAAAATTGTGTTCGCTTAATTGAGTGAGTGAACGCGGGGGGAGATTGATAAAACACGAGAGAGGAGCCAAACTCTTGGAGCTCCGCTTGCTTTAAAAGTTTCAAATTGTAAAACAAACAAAAAAACCACAGCAAACCAAACCGCACGCTCCCCGACTAAGAGCTCGCACTGAATACAGCTCATCCTGAAGCTTCTCCGACAACTACAACGGCCTCCAACGACCGCCGGCGCGCTTTCCGCTTCATTACGGTTGGAAGTACAGTTAATCGAATCGCTCTATAAAAGGAGGAAGAGGCCGGAGGAAATGGCACCCATCTGTCCAGCTGTGACCCAGCATACCAGACCGGCCCAGCTGCATCTTCCCCGCGGAGCGAAGAGACGTGAAGCCCCCCCCTCTACCATTACTCAGCTCTTGTTACAGCGGCAGGGGCCAAAATGGCAGCTGGGTAACGCGGCGCAAAAGGCTCCCGTTGATTTGGTCAAGGGGGCCCAATCGGTGTCACCCAGCGAGCGCTGGGGGACGATAAAGCCGTCCGGCAGATGTGTGACCAGCGCGCCTGCTCGCTGTTCAAATGCCCCCCCCCCCCCGGGCCCAAAAATGAACAGTCACTGGCAGGGTTGGTCCTCCCAGGGTGACTGGGTAAACAGTGGTGAGGCTCAATTTGTCCCACACCTCCCCAAAGGAGAAGTTGTAACTATTGGCGGGTGACCTACTGTACTGGCCTTAATGGGAATGTGCAACGCGAGACCTTTGGAGAAGAAAAAAAAAAAAACTCCCCGCCCAAGAAAAGTTCACGCGAATGGACCGCTGAACAAAAAGCATGAGGGGTTGTGCGGGTTCCACAGAGCTGGACCTTTTTTTTTTTTTCTTCACGGATCCGGTTTCATTCAGCGATCTATCACAAGTGAGGACGCATAAGCTGCAGTGGATGTGCAGAGAAAAGTGGGGAGAAGCGATTTACTTCTGGTCGATTTGCTGTGGAACACAACTGAATCTGAGCCGGCGTAATGGAATTTCTTCTGCTCGTGAACGTAAGGAACGCCATCCGTGTGTGAAAACAGAAAGTAGACTATGGAGGTTTGTCTACATAACATAACATGCGAAAAAAGATCCAGATTTGTGAGCAGCCCATTTAAGAAAGTAAAATGGAATTAACCGAATAGATGTTTCTTATGTTCACACGTAGATCATATTGTGATGCATTACATACGTTTCAAGCCCGGTGTGTAAAAGGAATTTAGTTTGAATTGCACAGATGAAAAGGGCATGAATGAGAAGTGCCTCCAGTTAGGCATGTGCAGACAAGAGGATTTCACAGTGCGATTATCTGTACACGATGAACGTAGAAACCATACTGATGGAAATCACCGTTTTATCCCATTTTGGAAGATGTTTCTGGGGAAATACAGATGTGCACAATGTGTTACTGGCTTGGCACTGGAGCCTTCGTTCTGACCGTGTTCCTGCTAAGATGTAAAACCACAACACGCGGGGCTGTGATGTGTTTGTATTTTTATTTTTTATTTTTTATTGGAGGCATGCGGCCACAATGAGTATCGTCTCATCTTGGCTTCCATTACTAAAAAAAAAAAACCTCATTAAAGGGCTGAAAGATTCCTCACCGAGTTGCTTTAAATGGTCTCGGGTGGAGAGTCGGGGTTCGTCGTATATCACAAAAGAAAGTTTCAACACCGCCAGAAATCTCCGCCACATGCCCTGCATAGCTGTGGCTGCGTGCACCCAACGTGCACCGACTGGTCCAACACCGAGGCGCATACAGGAGCTCCGAGGTCGGGCCAACATCCTGACGATTACTAAAACAATAAACCCAACGGCAAAAGCAAAGAGATGGCTTGTTTATTTAATGTCAGTTTCATGAACTGAGTGTTCAGGTTTTTTGTCTTGGAGCAAATGAGCCCCTTTTCAGACATATTGTAGGAAATAATTGAAAGTAGAAAGGAAAATAGATTGTTTAATTAAAACCTCCTGAGAAATGATCGGATTTATTTTGCTCTACTACATAAAGTCAACAACCACTTTGTGTAACACACTCTAAATTATCCATTTAGAACAACATAACCGGCCACAATAATGAGAACAGCGAGATGCATGGGAGCGTGTGCAGATTGGCGGTTTCTGGTGTTGTTTGTGAGGGTGGATAGAAAGTTGACCTCAGTCTGACACCGCGGGTCGTTTAGAAAAAGGCAGGTCCTCGTCCACGGAGCCCCACGCTAACCTCCGTGTAATTGGATTGCGAGCTCGAGCCAATCACCAAAATAGCAACGTACGGAGCCAATTGAGGGAATCAGGCGCCAAGAACAAGAGCAAACTCGCTGCATACGCAATTCAGTTTGTGTTCCCTAGTTTTACGGAAAACATCTGTATTTTCACCTTTAGATGAAGGCAGAGTAATTTGTTCAATATAAATAATAATTATATAATTGAGGTATGTAATGTACTTCATTTGCAGAATACTATGTTGTTATTTTGTATAGTGTTTATTGCGCTACCACAAAACCTGCTACATTGTGATCGACGCATGTACAGTCATCGGGATGTGAAGTTACTAATGCAGTAATAGCATGAAGCACAGCCCTACTTTAGAGCTAATTACAACGTTATACTCATGCTAAATTAGAACTTCAGAAAGGTCACTTTGGTTGGAATTTGTATTCTTGCCAAAGGTTTGTTTTTCTATTCCTGGCTGCAGCTGTATGACTCAAATGCAGAGCAACCGAACAAGTGTGAAATATGCAGCTTGTTCTCTGGCTGAATGGGTTTTAACGTCCAGACTCCCGAGAAGAAGCTCTCAGAGTCTAAAATGCATCAGTCTCAACGGTAGTTTGTCAGAGAAGAAGGTGAAGGGGTGAAACATTTCTACAGCGGTGCATCTCAGTCTTCTGAATGCAGCGGGTGTCGGTACCCAGCGAGCTTTGTGCGCCCTCACAACACAGAATCCACCGAAAACGATCGCGCCGACTTTACAACAACTGGCGCTCTCTGCTCGTACAGTGGACCCGTTAACCAGGCAAAGACCATTTCCCGCGCTGCTTCACAGGATGCGGGATTTATGACTATTTTATGACTGCTACGTCGCGTGACATTAAACGCCCCGCAGCTAGAGCGGCTAGGCTGACAATTAAAATGAGCGATGGCAGAGAAGAGTGAGAGGCACCACAACGCCGGCTTATTGTACCGCTCCCCCGTGTCTCAGCACGCACCTCACATAGTCCTCAAAAGGGCAAGATTTATGAAGACGGCTCGCTACGAACACAGGAAAAATAGTTGTGGTTGGAAGTCCTGCTCGAGCGTAGTCCTCCCCATTCACAGGGGGGGAATGTGGAGCATCGTGGAGGGACCCTCTGCTGGGGCAGAGAACTGCAAGGACCAACGTTTGGTTGATTTGACTGGAGGTTGCTTCATAATAGCAATGAACAATACTGAAATTATGCCGCTGACAAAACAGCATAAAGAAAGA